AAAACATAAAGTAATTCAGTCATAAATTTACCGACAGCAGCAAACGGCTATATTTTATCCACCGCTTCTGTGACGAAATCTCCATAAACCAACTGCTTGCCAGTGTGATAAATAAATATTAATATTTATCAATCCTTAATCAGTCCCGTAACTACTGTCGAACATCGTTTATAATGTCCGCAGTCAATCGCCTGCCACTTTTCAACGTCTCTCGGCGATTGACGTCACCAACGTCCTTGAAAATTTCTTCTTTCTGCCTCTCCCTTATTTTTCTGTTGCTACCTTAACCTTTTCCCTTTTTCCATTATCCCTTTCTATATAATTTTGTTTTAGACAGTTTCTCGACTTACTATTGACACAATTTCTTATTGATCGAATTTCGTGACGTTCTGACGGCATAATTTTAACGCATTTTTATGCCCCCACAATGTGGGAGCATATAGCGTTGCACTTGTCCGTCCGTCCGTCAGTCCGTCCGTCCGTCCGTACGTCCCGAAATCTTGTGAACGCAACTCCTCTTAAACCGGATGGCAGATTTTGCCTAAACTTACAGGGATGAACAACCTTAATGTGTAGATGGTAGTAAAGGAAGGAATTTTTGCTGCGACCAAATTTAACAGAATTATGGCCCTTGTTGATTTTTTCACTAGATACTATGTAGAAATTTTGTGAACGCAACTCCTCTAAAACCGGATGGCAAATTTTGCTTAAACTTACAGGGATGAATAACCTTAATGTGCAGATGGTAGTAAAGGAAGGAATTTTTGCTGCCACCAAATTTTACAGAATTATGGCCCTTTGTTGATTTTTTCACTATATACTATGTAAAAATTTTGTGAACGCAACTCCTCTTAAACTGGATGGCAGATTTTGCTTAAACTTACAGGGATGAACAACCTTAAGGTGTAGATGGAAGTAAAGGAAGGAATTTTTGCTGCGACCAAATTTTACAGAATTATGGCCCTTTGTTGATTTTTTCACTATAAACTATGTAGAAATTTTGTGAATGCAACTCCTCTTAAACCGGATGGCAGATTTTGCTTAAACTTCCAGGGATGAACAAGCTTAATGTGTAGATGGCAGTAAAGGAAGGAATTTTTGCTGCAACCAAATTTAACAGAATTATGGCCCTTTGTTGATTTTTTCATTATATACTATGTAGAAATTTTGTGAACGCAACTCCTCTTAAACCGGATGGCAGGTTTTGCTTAAACTTCCAGGGATGAACAACCTTAATGTGTAGATGGTAGTAATTGCTGCGACCAAATTTAACAGAATTATGGCTTTTTGTTAATTTTTAGTTTTCAACTTGTGGCACATGTTGTCCAAAAAATATTTGACCTAGAGTCATAAGATTGACAGAACAGTGGCGTGTGGGGGCATCCGTGTCCTATGGACACATTTCTAGTTTTTACATGTGACATATGAATTGTGATTGCAGAGATAATTGTGGTTTAAACGAAGCAATTTTTCTGACAACGTCAAATGTTGCACATGACGTTTCGGCGTATTTTGAAATCTTATTGTGTCATATTGTAAAATATACGCTTCATAAAGCGCCTATTTACAGCGCAAATTTATGTACTGCGCAGGGTGTGCGTTGCCATGTTTTTTTATTCGCTGTAACGTACAAGCTAGTTGCGTTATCAAATTAGATATGGCATAGTTTTCCGATTAATTGTTATATAAGTTTGAATTGACAGTCCCAGTCCGGTTTATTTTTGATCATCCTTCGTATGTCCTGAAGACTTTAAAATCTTTTTCCATTATTAGACATACATATATATTTATAAGGAGGATTAAGCATATGCACTATTTACAAGTCACATTCACAGGGACAGTGATCATTTCCGCTACACTATAGTCTATCAGGATGATAACGCTTTATCAGAAATTCGTGCTTACTTTATAGGCGGGGCTTAATATGCTGTTTTATCAAATTTCGAAGCGTCAGATGAAAAAAAAAATGTTAAGATAAAGTTTAACATCTTAAAAAATAAAGATCACGATATTGCCAAAAAGGCGTGGAATGATCTAAGGAAGTGCTACTGATGTATATCCAACCGTTTTTATGTTTGTACTTTTCTTAGTTTTGTTTAGGCTGCTACTAAAGGCTAACAGGCTGTTAGGCTGCCGGGCTGCTAACTTCTCAAATTTCGAAGCGTCAGAATGAAAAAAAAAAAGTTTAATATTTTAAAAATTAAAGATCCCGATATTGAAGTAAGACGTGGAATGGTCTAAGTATATTCCGACGTTTTTTATGTTCGTACTATCCTTAGTTTTCTTTAGGCTGGGATGTTTGGCTGCTAACTTCACCACAAATTTTGAAGCGTCAGAATAAAAAAAAGATGTTAAGATAAAGTTCAACATCTTAAAAAATAAAGATCACGATATTGAAAAAAAGGCGTGGAATGATCTATTTCCGACCATTTTCATGTTTGTACTATTCTTAGTTATCTTAAGGCTGCTAGGCTGTCAGGCTGTTAGGCTGCCAACCACAGGCTGTTAGGCTGCCAGACTGTTAGGTTACCAACTTCAGGCTGCTAGACTGCCTAGCTGCTAGGCTGCAAACTTCACGAACATAGTTTGCTATTCATTGTTCGGGACATTTTCTTTTTGATAATCAAACACCCTAATACCAATCGGAATAATCGGCTATTATGACCGTCGAAAAGGCCCGAGAAGTTGCTGTCGCCCTTTCACAAAATCTGATTGGAGAGGTCATCAGACCTCTCCACAGTGTTCAGACTGATTGCTGGCGGCATCCATTTTTGCGTATCTGATTGTAGTAAATGAATCTCATTTAAAGCGTAAAGGCATTAGGATCAGTCTACAAAAAATGTTTTGCGCACGCTCCGTTTCAGAATACGACTTAACTTAAACGAAAAATCAACATCGAAGTGAACAAATCGGTACATAGAACAATCAGAAAATATCATAATATTATACGTTACTTAGCCCACGTGAATGTTTCATACCGTTTTAATATTTTAAACTGTATAAGTCGATTACCGTATTGTTTTCTGAATAGTTCTTAACTATTTCACGTTCTGATAAATAGTAACAGTGAACAATATATATAGCTACAGTATCACCATGCACTATTATAAAAATTATGACCGAGTGAACCGTGTGCCGAAATTTTGCTGCTCCTTAAACTTTTGAAAGATTTCGAGTCATTTCGGCCCCAAGACGTATCGGCCTCAAATTACCCAAGACGTTTCGGCCCCGGACGTTTCGGCCTTTTACCAAATCGGCCCAATATTTAGTTAAGAATAAGTTTTACCTTTACGTGTTTTATGCCAGAATTTTAATAGCATTTCAAAAAATGAATGAAATAAGGGAATGAGAGAATTAATTGAATTATTAAATTTATGATTTTGTAATTGAATGAGGCTTTTAAAATAGTAGTGATCAAAACAAATAGAACAGAACATAAACTTTATTAAACAAAACATAGTACACAAACACTGAAAAAGATTTTCACCTGCTTATTATCAACAAGCTTTTTTTTTAACTTGAACATTTAAAAAGCAAGACAAAGAACAATACATAAAACAAACATTTATTATCAACAACTATTAAATTAATAGTAAATGACGAGTTTCAGCAATACAAAACAGCACATAACAGTTAAAAATGATACTTGTACTTTCATGAAATAAAACAAACAATACATTGTAAACAGGCATTTTTTTTTAACAAATAACACTTTTTTACAATAAAAGTGACAGATTTACAATCAGAACGATATGATAATAATCTAAAATATTATCAAGAAATTATAACAAATCATAAGTTTAAAAACATTTGAAGTTTTCTTTGATATTACTAACCGCTAATTAGCAATAATTAAATAATTAATTTGTTACACATTTAAAAAAAACATACCTAAATATAAAATAAATATTGTTTGTGTGCCATCAATCAATCAATATACTACATTTTTCTAAAGTCTTTAAGTTTAAAAATTCCTTTTTAAATGTAATTAAAAAAGGGCCGAAAGGTCTCGCGGAAAAGGGCCGAAACGCCTAGGGGCTGATTTTTCATAGGGGCCGATTTGGTTTGGGAAAGAAACGTCCTGTTTGCTTTTGAAATGGTATGACTAAATAACGCAACGGAGATGTTTTGGCACAAATGGCACACATTTTACTCAAGTTTGATTTTCATCAAATATTGTGGTTGGAGGCATGCAGCTATATATACTGTTTATATACATTTTCTATGTAAATCCTGGACTTAAAATTATTTGATTAAAAAACTTTATGCCCGTTTTTGAAAATGTAGTAGAAATGTTTCCACATACTTACCGAAACACCGAAAATTTGCTTATTGAATTTTACAAAAAACTTTTGATTTTGAAACTACTTTTAACATATATATTAATATATAATTTATTTTAAATTTAGTAATTGAAAGAGCATCAAAACATGAGACTATCTGATTTGTATGAAGGGCGTAGCCCCCAAGTATTAATCAGATTGCCGAGCGTTTTGATGTTCTTTCTCTTTTGTATCATAGTCAAACATAAAACACGTTCCCTTTTGTCACAATATGAAACCCCGGAAAAAATGGAACCAATAAACGAGCATCTGAATATGATATTTTTGTCGCTTTCCCTTTCTCTGCCGTCACAATAAGTAAACCCTAGCAAAAATTAGCCGATCAATGGGCTTGCTCTGGAGTGCGGGTGCGCCAAGAAAAAAAGTCCATTTCTCCGGCATATAATCTTTCAAAATATTTTAAGAAATGAAGTGAAAAACAATCTTTCATTATGATACTATATAAATTCTATTTTGTTAAATAATTGTAATTTATAAAAAATATCCACAAATATTTTCGAACCACAGCAGCACATCTCGCATGCTTCATTTTAAAGAAGCAAACTTGTTTCATTCCAGAAGGGTCCTCGCTTCGGCGCGGACGCCAATAATGGCTACCACTGTTGGCAAGGGAGGTAAATATTGTAAAAACGGAAACTATCTGTACTGTAGGTATATATTTTTAAAAGCTGTATCATCCATTTCAGACCATGGCATATTATATAGATGTTGAGCATGGTGCCGCTTTTGAAGTTTCTTTGGCATCAGAGGGATCTGAAGATTTTGATATTGTGAGTATTGCTAAAAACAACAACAAGATCATACGACAAAATCAGTGACACAGTCACACATAAATAGATTAACCTTTTTTATGCTTTTCAGTGAATAACTGATTTATCTGTGAAAATTGTATAGAGGATATTTGGTAAGTTTAATGTAAGATTGTAATATATTTCACCGAGTGAGTACTAAAAGGTATATTTCACGAGTGGCGCAGCTAACGAAACTAAACTAAACAAATAATCTTTTTATTATATGCAAAGAAACGTTTAAAAAGACAGTTTAACCTTATACTTAAAATGACAAGTGCGCCAAATAATAATACAACGTGACGTCATTTACGACGTCACATCATTAAGTTGGTTTCCAGTACTGTGAACGCTCGTATTTTAATGAAACAATGTAACGGGCTCAAATATTCAAAACAGTGAAATTATCAAGTTGATAATTTCACTGTTTAAAACAGTAAAATTATCAGTTTTGTTTCACTGATATATTTCTATAAACCACCGAAAAGCATGTAATAAATTTGATAATTTCACAATCAGTGAAAAATATCAAAATATAATTTCGACGAGACTACTTTTTAATGTTTCCCCATGTGGTACCTCATTTATATTTTTGCTGACAATTCTGACATTGTCGGGGCTGTTTAGAGAAAAGCAAAGCTGAAATTGATAAATAACTTAAAACTTCAAAATTAATAAAAAGAAGAAAACTTACTTCAATTCTTTCAAATTACTAATCACCAAATAGCGCCTCAAAATATTTTGTTTCATTTTTACAGTCTGAAAATTACATAGAGGTATATTTGTTTGTTTTGCATGTAAGATTGAAATATAATTTCACTTAGTGAACACCAGATGCAATATTTTCACGAGTGGCGTAGCCACGAGTAAAAATATAATAGCTGGTGTTCACGAATGAAATATATTTCCATCTTATATGTAAAACAAATAAATTTTCTTTTTATTTTATGCTTTTTAAGTGATTTTAATTATTTTTTTACTGATTTTGCCGCGTAACGTCGCGCATTCTCCTTTGTGACGTCATTATATCATGACGTCACATCATAAGTTTTGAAATATAGTTCTGTTAAATTTCTCTAATTTTGTTAAATTTTTAACATGATGTATGATGACATTGACTTTCTTTTCCTAAATAAGCAAATTTACATATGACGGCATTTATTTCTGCCTGTTATTACATTTGGTTATGATTTTCTTTTCATCCGCATTCAGATAAAGTCCGGCTACAGTGAAAATTATATTTTATGAATTTCGCTAGTGGTTTATCAGAATATAATCATCTGATATATTGTAATAAAACACTGGAAAGCATGAAATAAAATTCCTTTCACATGCAACACTGCTCTTGGTGACATTTGGACATATTTCAGTATCCTACCAGCAATAACTGCCTAGTGCAATATGAAAACTTGAAAATCAATGACAGCCATCAGTCCGAAGAACAAGTAAACAGCCCAGTGTCCGTTATGCAGCTTTTCAACAATTCCATGTTTCCCAATTTCCTAGCCGCTTTTTGAATGTTTACACAACTGTCAACACTTATTTATTTTCTGTAACTTTCCTCAAATAAGTTTTCTTTCTTAAAAAAGGATGTATGACTAACATATGCAAATGATATCCTTTATTTCTTGTTTGCCAATCTTTAACTGTAATATATCAGATGATTATATAGAGGATATTTGTTTGTTTGTGTGAGTGGGCTTTAAAAGCAGTATTCTCACGAGTGGCGTAGCCACGAGTGAGAATACTGTTTTTAAAGCCCACTCGATGAAATAAAATTACATCTTACACAACAAACAAACAAATTTTCTTTTTATTTTGTGCTTAAAAACAAGTTAAAACGAAATTTCCTCAATATTTACGTTAATATTAAAATCTGTTTTCCCCATTGAGAGCCACAAAAAGTCGAATTTCTCATTAAATACAAGAAGTCATGGGCTGAAAAAAAAGTTCCACAATCAACGTTAAATGGTGGTGATAGACTATTAGTATTCATTTTATTAAAAGAATATGCCTGACCGCTTGTTTAAATAATAAAAACAAACAATTCTAGTAGAAGAAAAAGTCCAACCATCCATCCATATTTCTGTTACTGACTGCGAATTCATATTAGACCTGGCTTTGTTAAATGTAAGCGGCCGCCATTTTTAAAGTTGTGTATTTCACTGGAGGACAATAATTGTGTTTGATTCAGAGGGATATCATTTGGATTTCTTAGTCATACACCTTTTTAAAAGAAAGAAAACTTATTTGAGGATTGTAAAGGACAATAAATAAGTGTTGGCAGATGTGTAAACATTCAAAAAGTGGATAGGAAATTGGAAAACTTGGAAGCCTTACGAACGCTTGGTTGTTTACATATTCTTCGACTGAAAGCTGCCATTGCTTTTAAAGTTTTCATAAAGCATACGGCAGTTATTGCTCGTAGAATACTTAAATATTCCCAAATGTCACCAAAAGCAGTTTTGCATGTGGAAGGAATGTATTTTTCAGACTGTAAAAATGAAACAAAAAATTAAAGAGACGATATTTGGTGATTAGTAATTTGAATGAATAGAAGCAACTTACTGTAAGTTTTCTTCTTTTTATTACTTTTGACATTTAAGTTATTTATCAATTTCAGCTTTGCTTTTCTTTAAACAGCCTGACATTGTCAGAATAGTCAGCAAAAATAAAATTGAGGTACCACATGGGGAAAAATCTTAAAAAAGTAGTTTCGTCATTGATGAGTGTGAAATTATATTTTGATAACAGTAATCCACTGAAAATCATAAAATAAATTCTGATAAACCACCAGTGAAATTTATAAAATATAATTTTCACTGTAGCTGGACTATATCTGATGCGGATGAAAAGACTATCATTACTAAATGGAATAACAGGCAAAAATAAATGTCGTCATACGTTAATTTTGCTTCTTAAGGGAAAGCATACATCATGTTAAAATGTAACAAAATTAGAGAAAGTTTAACGAAACTATTATATTTCAATTATTTCATTATCATACATAAAAATTTATATACCGGAATACGGTATTTTGTGTGGTGCTCTAATCCTTTTTTATATGCGGGCATAATATGTTATACCCACTGGCGTCCGTCCGTCTGTCTGTCAAAATACCCAACAAGAATACAAATGTTAGAACGTCTGTCCGTCCGTCTGTCCGTCCGCCCGTTAGCAACTTAAGTTCCATTTGGTCCACAATATTCAAACTTCATAGGATGATTGTCCATATTTGGTAGAAAACCCCTATTGATTTTGAGGTCAAAGGTCAAGGTCACTATCACCTTAAAACTGAAAACAATTTCCGGAGCATAACTTAAGTTCTGTTTGGCCCAAAGTGTTCAAACTTCATAGAATGATTGTCCATATTGGGTAGAAGACCCCTATTGATATTGGGATCACAAGGTCAAGGTCATTATTACTTTAAAACTGAAAACAGTTTCTGGAGCATAACTTAAGTTCCATGTGGCCCACAATATTCAAACTTCATAGGATGATTGTTCATATTGGGTAGAAGACCCCTATTGATTTTAGGGTCACAAGGTCAAAGGTCAAGGTCACTATTACCTTAAAACTGAAAACAGTTTCTGGAACATAACTTAAGTTCAATTGGCCCACAGTGTTCAAATTTCATAGGATGAATGTCCATATTAGGTTGAAGACCCCTTTTAATTTTTGGGTCACAATGTCAAGGGTCAAGGTCACTATTACTTTAAAACTAAAAACTGTTTCCAGAGCATAACTTAAGGTATTAGCATCCTAATGCATTACCTCCGCTTTGAAGAGTATTCAAATAGGCTAGAACTACTGTTAACTACATTGAAAATGAAGGCCATGGGTTCAATCCCCAGAAGGGTCAACTTTTTTTTTCCTTTCTTTTTTTCTTTAAACATTATTTATGTAAAGAAAAAAGTGTTTAATTTTGATTTTTTAATTTATATAGGTATTTATTGGCTAAATTATGGTAAATCTAGAAATAAATATGGTACCTGATACCTGTGTAATATAATCAAAACTAGACGGTAAAAGTATTTCATATTTTACAAGATTAACCAATATACTTTTTTAAAAAAATTAGGGAAACTTTGAAAACAGGCACTAATTTGGGTAAATTTTAAGAATTTTGTGAATTAGGCTCCCTAAGAAGAAAAATGGTCAGACATGTGGTAAAAATGGGTGGGGTAGGGTAACATCTTTATACAGATTTCATAAATTTTAAGTAGAAACCATAATTTTGCTTATGTGGATTGTTAGCTGAATGGTACTTTTTGTTTCTTACCAAAAATTCATGGGAAAACATTTTTCATTAGAATGTTATTGCAGATTATTTAAAGGTTCCTGATTTCTAAAAAAGGGCCCTCATAACATCCTAGCTTGAGTTCAGAAAAGTGGCCATAACTTGATTTCCGTACGGTAAACTTTGTTTAAATTTTGCATACAGGTGTACTTTAAGGTATACATCTGACCTATGATGTCAATTTTTTAGTTCCTGATAGTGCCCATTAGGGTCCTAATACCTTAAGGTCTACTTGGCCCACAATATTCAAACTTCATGGGATGATTGTCCATATTAAGAAGAAGACCCCTATTGATTTTTGGGTCACAAGGTCAAAGGTCAAGGTCATTATTACTTTAAAACTGAAAGCAGTTTCCGGAGCATAATTTAAGTTCCATATGGCCCACAATATTGAAACTTCATAGGATGATTGTCCATATTGGGTGGAAGACCCCTATTGATTTTGGGGTCAAACGATAAAAGGTCAACGTCACTATTACCTTAAAACTGAAAACAGTTTCTGGAGCATAACTTAAGGTATATTTGGCCCACAATATTCAAACTTCATAGGATGCGTGTCCATATTGGGTAGAAGACCCCTATTGATTTTTTGGTCACAAGATCAAAGGTCAAGGTAGGTCACTATTACTTTAAAACTAAAAACAGTTTCCAGAACACAACTTAATTTCTATTTTCCTTAGGG